TATGGTATGTCAAAGAAAATAGATTTTTTAAAACTGCAATGTTACAGAGGTAATTAACTATTATCAAAGTCAAGGTAAATTCTAAAATTTTCCACAAAGTAAAAGCAGGCCATCTGCACAGTGATAATAATCAAGTTAGAACTAGAATTCCAACAGTAGCACTAGAATCAGGAAAGCACTAAAGTAATATCTGCAAATACTTACAGGCAAGTCTCATTTCTCATCGTGTGACACAGATTTTCCAAGTGTGTGAAAATAGTGACCTGCCGTAAAAGAACCATTTCCTCTCTTTTTTTCATGTGTGTATGTTCTTATTATCCCATTAGTCAATTTTACTAACTACTTGAATTAAATAAAACACTAATTTTTCTCTGTTTTATTTACAGATTTGGAGTCCTCAAATATTTGGTAATAATTGCCATAACTTGCTAGAGATATGCAAATACAATTATATATTATCAGTCATGTATTTAAAATGTAGCTAATGATAATCTGGCAATATGTATGTTTCTTTTGCTGCCCTGGTTTGTTTTGTTTCGTTTTGTTTCAACACTAAAAAAAAAACACAAAATGAAAGAGCAAGTAATTGAATTGACTTAAATATGGCTCCTTGACAGAAATACCATACAAGGTGATAGATTTTGGATGTGCTGTCACTCAAAAACTCATGTGGAAATCTGATCCCCAATGTGGCAGTGTTGTGAATTGTTTTGGTCATGGGGGCAGATCCCTCATGAATGGATTAATGCTCTCCCTGGGGAATGGGGTAGTGAGTGAGATCTTCCTCTATTAGCTCCTACGAGAGCTGGTTGTATAAAAGACCCTGGTACCTCCCCTCTCTCTCTCTCTCTCTTACTTCCTCTTACCATGTGATCTGCTTGTACCCACTGTCTGCCTGCTACTTTCCTCCATGAGTAGAAGCAGCCTGAGGCCCACGCCAGGTGCAGCTGTCCCAGAATCATAAGCCAAATAAACCTCTGTTCTTTATAAATTACCAGTTTCAGGTATTCTGTTATAACAACACAAAGAATGGACTAATACACATGGGCTACCATGATTGCCAACTACCATATGAAGGTTTGCTTTGGTGTTTATCCTGTTGCATAATAACCCTATGATGTGTGAGTTTATGGAATTCTGAGGATTCTCAATTTTGCCACATCTTGGAGACTTTGATTCTATGAAACTTGTGTTTTCCTTGACCACAGCATATGGGCTTTAGCTTCAGTTTCTTTGCATTTACCTGGAATGCTTCTCCCCAACGTTCCCCAGATTCCATGTGGCTTGCTTCCTCACCCCCTTCAAACGTTTACTTAAATGTCACATTTTTGCTGTCATTTCCCCTGGCAATGTTACTAAGAATGCCCAATCCTTACTATCACCATTCCCACCCCCGATCCCCACTTCACACTTCAACATAACTCATATTATCTGTACACTTGTTTTCTTTATTCTGTCTTTTGTCCTATTCCTCTTAGTGGAGAAAAGATACCGTGTTGGTTCTGTTTACTACTATGGGGACAGTGCCTGACACATAGTAGACAGTCATTGAATGTTTGTTGAATCGTCAGTGAATGAACCTTGAAACTGATTTATCCTCTTGAGTGTCCAAGATCAGTCCCTGTCACTCATGGGCAAGCCTTCTAGAATGGAAGCCTAAAAACAGCATTACAGCACAGTGTGAACTTCTCTATTTCTGTTTCCTCATCATTAAAATGGGAAAATAAACTTATATGATGTTAAGACAAATGGAAACTGAAGCTTATTTCATAAATTTTCTCATTTTATAGGTTTAAAAATGGAAATGAAGAGGATTAGGCAATTTGTACAAGGTTTTATATAAGCACTTTGTGGGAAAGTGATGACAAAATAACTCGTCTCTGCCCTCTGGATTTTCACGTCTGGTTTCTATTACTGTCAGGAAACCTCCAATGGAATGGCATGATAGATCTCAGTGTGATCCAAAATTGTGTGCATTTCTTCACTTTAGGATAGTGTAATTATGCCAAATAGCAAGTTATTATGATGATATCATAGTGTATTTTTTCACTTTGTAATGCTGCAAATATACCAAATATTGAGTGAACATGGTAGTTGCAAAACATTATGAAGATATACCCAGATTTAAAATAGTCATATTATAGGTCAGGGACCAGTAACACTCTCCTCGAAGGGTTCAAGATAAATAGCCCAGGACCAATTATTTAAAATCTTACAAGACTAAAAAACCAATAATTTTTGCCATGGAAGAAAGATAATTATAAATTTGGAAAGTTGGTCCCAGAATCAGTAAGTGGGTTATCAATGTCTCGTAACATTCTCCTTCACAGGAAAGGGTTAATTCTGATTTCAGAGCTTTGTCATCACCCATATTCCCTGGGTATACAATATAGGGTGTTGCAAAGATCTCACTCTGGAGGTTGTGGCTATAGCATAAAAAAGCCTCCCTCCTAAGCAAATGAGTTTAGAAAGATACCGGTATAGATGTGTTAACGTCTCCAGTGGTCTTTGCTGGTGAGTAACATTGTAGAAGTGTGGATCCTTATCTGTGGCTAGCTGAGCACAAGAAAAAGAGCCATTGGTGATATAATATGGGAAAGAAAGGAAACTTTCTGATTGAGAGAAGGAGCTAAGGGAAATGACTAAGAACTTGTTGGAATAATCTCATATACAATTGAGCAATTACAGCGTTCATTCTCTCTCATGAATTCTTATACAATCTCTGTGCCCAGCTGGTATATCATTTGACACCTTTCCCATTCTGTTATACTACACCATTTCACTGACATGAATCCTGTCTATTTACTGATTTATCAAGATTCTTTTCTTCATGGCTTTCGTCTATTTTTCACTGTTTTCTCTCCTTTAATTCCTTCTAACCTAGTTTAAAGGTTGGAAAATGGCCTCAGCCCTAGCCTATGTTTGACATGAAGAGAGAACAATAATTGAACTTAGCTTAAACCATTCAGGAATTATTCCTTGCAGTTATAACCGAGTAAAACACAAACAAACCACTTGCTATTTTCCCCGATCAGAAGGTAGTTCTAATAACTTTGTAATGGTACAAAATCTCCAAATGTGTAATGTAATTTCTGTACAAATGCTTAAGAATAAGTATAATCAGTTACACTGGATTATAAACATTATAAACTCTGTCCGGATATTTATATGCAGATACAGTGAGGATCAGGATTTAATGTCTGCTAATCCCTGTTAAGGATTATCTGACAAACTGATATACGTCAGAACCAAGTTCACTATAGCTTTTTACTTTGTCACATTCTTATCAATAGGATAACCAGTGACTGTAACTTTACATTTTTATGATCCATCTTCAGTCAGGCATAACTTGCAAGAATCCTGTAATGTAGGCATTGCATAAGTAAGGAATTTTAGACATGGAGGAGGGTAATAATTTAACTGAGATCAGATGGCAAAAGCAACAGAACTTGCACTTAATTCCTAGTGTCTGTTTCTAAACATTATGCCATTTTCAAACACTCATTAAGTTAACTCTGGTTGAACTCGAGTCACAGAGCAAAAATCTGATTATAACATTCTACTTCATCTCTTTTCCCAGTACTCTCAATTCTAATACTACCTTGCGTATAGTCATCCCTGCTCAAATTAAGAAAAACTTTCTAAATATTTATTTCTTGGAATCTCTCTTTTATTCTCTCAATCTAGTAATTTGTTTGCCTTTGATTAATTATCTTAACTCAATTTTGTTGCCTCCTTCCTGTACTTGTGATCAAATTCTGCTTTCTAGGATTTCTTAAACAACTTTTACAAGGCTCAAGTTGCAATGCACCCTTCCAAGACACACACACACAAACACATGCACACACACACACTATTCTGTGAAAGAGAAAGAAAGAGCTCTTGATCACCATGTGCTTAGCTTTATTAAGGTGATATATCATGGCCCCTTAGAATAGCAAGATAAATGATTGATCCAGTATCAAGGAGTAATGTGTATAAATTAACTCACCCTACCAGATAATTCTATGATGTTTTATAACCTTGAACATTAATACTTGTGTGTGTCAATGTATGTAAATCTGTATCTCTTTCTTGACAGTCATCAACAGGAAGACACTTAAAAAAGCAAAGCCTCTCATCAGATTAGAAATGAAGAGAGATATGTACATTCAATTGTAAGCAGACTCAAATTAAGAGGATTATCCTGGGAAGAAGTTTACTGTGGCTTCATTAATAAAACCTCAAGGCAGAGAGCCTCTATGATATTGGCTACAGTAAGAAAGGAGAGATCAGAAGATGACTATGAGTTGAGAAATGGTTTTGGGGTCTTAAACAAATTGAGATCTGCTCTCATCCAAATTTGTCCTAGAAAGGTCTACTTTGCTACATTTATCATTTCTTTGAAGAGTGAATTACGTATGTTCAGCTCAGAAATGTGGCCCATGTAGAATCATAATGACATCCACCATGTTTAAGCTGTGTTCCTCCTTCTTCGTCCATAAAATATATAGTCAAAAATCAAAATTTTTTTAAATAAAATAATGTTAATTTTTTTTTCCTGGGAGAATATTTTGTGTACCTAAAGTAGTAAGGGAAAAATTTTATCAAAACAATATTTCGTTCATTTAAATTGCTGATTTTGTAACTGTTACAACCACTAACACTAACTTCAGATCACTAACTTTGTTTCATAAAAAAAGGAACTTTGTCTAGTCCATCTTTTGTAATCAGTCTTAGTATAGAACTTGACACATATGTGTTAGACACTCAATCAATGTTTGTTAAAGTAAAAGATTAGACTTAATTGAATGGATCTCATAAAGTACCTTGAAATGCTGGGGCCGTGTTTTACCATTAAATGTGTATATTTTCAAGCCTCTATGATGCAATATGGGTAGGTATGGATAGAAGTTTCACTGACTTCTTTTTCTTTGGGCACTAAGCAAGGAAGAGACCCACTCAATGAATGAGAGGCACTTGATCTGTGACATATTTCAGTATAAAAAACTCCCTGAAGGATGGCCTCTCTTAACACCACACTATTCCACCCCTACTCTTTCCTTCTTCTGGGGATCCCTGGGCTTGAAAATATGCATGTCTGGATTGGGTTTCCTTTCTTTGTTTTGTTCCTGACAGCTGCACTTGGGAATATCAGCATTGTTTATGTGATTCAGACTGAGCACAGTCTCCATCAGCCCATGTTCTACTTCCTGGCCATTCTATCATCTGTTGACCTGGGCCTGTCCACATCCACTATCCCCAAAATGCTTGGCATCTTCTGGTTCACCCTGAGAGAAATCTCCTTTGAGGGCTGCCTTGTCCAGATGTTCTTCATCCATCTGTGCACTGGCATGGAGTCTGATGTGCTCGTGGCCATGGCCTATGATCGCTACATGGCCATCTGTAATCCTCTTCGCTACACACAGGTGCTGACAAACAAGGTGGTGTTCATCATTGCATGGGTAATCCTCCTGAGACCTTTGTCCTTTGCCCTACCCTTTGTCCTCCTGATCCTAAGGTTACCGTTCTGTGGACACCAAATTATCCCACACACCTACTGCGAGCACATGGGTATTGCCCGCCTGTCCTGTGCTAGCATCAGGGTGAACATCATCTATGGCTTATGTGCCATCTCTACCCTGATGTTTGACATCGTAGCCATTATCATTTCCTACATACAGATCCTTCGTGCTGTCTTTCGACTTTCTTCTCATGATGCCCGACTCAAGGCACTCAGCACCTGTGGTGCTCATGTGTGTGTCATGTTGACCTTTTACACCCCTGCTTTTTTTTCATTCATGACCCATAGGTTTGGCAGGAACATACCACGCTACATCCACATCCTTCTAGCAAATTTCTACGTAGTCATTCCACCTGCTCTCAATCCTGTAATTTATGGTGTCAGAACTAAACAGATTAGAGAACAAGTGCTAAAAATGTTTTTCAAGAAATAAGACATAGCTGTGGTGTTTATAAAAAGTTGTATTTAAGAAGGGGGTGGCACAAGTTTTCTATGTTCAAAATGGGAAGAGAGCATTTGGAAGGTATGCAGGTCTATCTTAGGGAAGGACTGTCAATGGCAGTTCTTTGGTCTGTGCAGCTTCCTTATTCAATCCAGAAATAGAAAGTTAAGCCAATGACAAATGCATAGGCAAAAGTGTTTTATAGTTTTCCATTTGTTTGTAAATGATTCAGACTCCTAATGTGAAAGAAAACCAACACTTTTCCCTGCTTTCATCATAGCCATAGGCAGTTTAAAGCAAAACCAAGTAAACACAGACATACACACACATACACACACACACAAGCAAACATAAAACCTATAAAACCCTTCCTATCCCTAGTTAAGACAATGATACTGGGCAAGCCTGATTAGTGCTGGTCTCAAATTAATAAACATTGGAGTATTTCCCATATGCTCGGACTCACTATTAAAAAGAATATTATTTTGACTTTGACATGTTAATGTCAGAAGATATGAAGTTGATACTGTGAACATGATAATTATGTGAGAAAGATGAAAGTTTTTCACCATGAACAGAATTTCAGAAACTTGGCAATCTTGGTAAATTTGTAATTTTTTAAAAATGATGTGTTTTGGTGTTTACCTGGTAGACGAGTTAGAGTCTAACTTACTGATACCTGTTTGCAAACAATCTATTCTTTTCCAAACAGTTTGGTCAGTGTGTCTTTTTTCCCACCCTGTACAGGAGTTTCACTCTTATGGAATGTTAAAAGTCCCAGTGATGTTCCAAATCTAGCCCTATCTAAATGTGTTTTGTTCATTTTAATAAAACTCTAGTTCCATGTGATATTCTTCAGTGTTATCTAGGTCTATGTGATATTATTGACATTATGTATAGATAAGATTCAAGGGAAAATGTGTGTGAAATCCTAGAAAAACCTAACTTTCTAGCAATATTTTTATTGCAGGACCTCTGAGAGTTTTTAACTCACAAATACTCATTTGAAACTTTAAGGCAAGATTGGCTTCAGAATACTCTTCTTAGACCATCCCATGACACTCATACTCTGTAGAATGCACTTTAGAAGAAAAAGGAAATACTTATTGTTATTACCATAGAATATATGATGTCACATATTCTTAGATACATTTGTTAAATTTGTATCAACATTGCACTCTGAACTTGAAATTATTTGAAAAAAAAATCAGTTTGTTATGCTGTGTAATTATAGGCACAAACGACTTTGTTCTGTAGCCCTATTGTGAGAATGAACTCATCCCTCATGTATCCAGTTTTTCTACTTATGAAATAACTTTTCATTTTTATGTCCCCAGTTGTATCCTGAATGAGTTGGAAAGTGTTCACTCTATTTCTATATTCTGGCTAATTTGTGTATTAATTGGTATTTAGTCTTTGAAAATTTTGTAGATATCACCAGTGCAGTATCTGGCCTTGGAGTTTTCTATGTTGGGTTGCTAACTACAGATTGAGTATCTTTATTAGGTCAATGAGTATTCCACTTATCCATTTCTTCTTTTTTTTGCTATGAATGTCCTGAGAGAATGCCTCCTGAGCTTCACATTCCTATTTTTACCTTGTGTTTAGGGTGTGAGCTTGTTAGTCTGAGGGTCTTTCTCAATGTCTACTATTATATTTAGGTCTTCCCTTTGTTTCTGTGGCACAGATAAAGCCACTCCCCATGCTCTTGGAGCCCCCTCACCAATAGAATGCTGTTACGCCACCTCTGCCTGTCTGGTGGTGGGAGCTAGAGTATGGAATCTGTTGTGCTGGTTCAGCCTCAGTCTTAGGCAGGTGCCATGTTCCGGGTCTTAAAGGTGGAGACTTCTCAGTGATTCTTTCCTTTTCTAGCTGTAGGAGACTTCTGATGATTCTGCCTCACACCAAGTTTGCAGGGTTTGTTTCTGTTCCTTTCCCTCAGCAGCCATGTATCTTCAAGTGTACTTTTACCCCAGTGGCTGAAGTCTTTTGCTCCTCAAGGAGAGAGGGAACAGGAACTGGGTGAAGTCTAGATCTCATCTTACAGTGGCTGGTATTCTCCTGTACCAGGCCTGTTCCATGATGAAGGTTTTCTCTGGCCTTTAGTCCTTACCCCCGTAGTTCTCATGATTACCTGGTAGAGGTCTAGAGAGAAAAAAATGAGTGGGTATGAATTTTCCTTTGTGTAATTCACAGATGACCCTCAATCATTCTGTATTCTCACATAGGTCTAAACTCTGCTTTGAGGAATTTGCTTAAAAATTTTAGTAAAAAAATATTTTTCACTGGCTTGTATGGAATCTGGCATCTGCCCCTGATAAGCAAGGGATCGTGTCCTATCTTTTCTTTGAGTTGCCTGTCTTTCCTTAAATTTTGGGTTAGTTGGTTGCTCTGTAATTTCAACTACCTAACAAGTTCAAGGGAAATGTGAATTTATTGATTATCCAACATTATATTTTTTGTATAAGGTTTTGAGTGATGGTTTTCTAATTTCTTACTCTAAGTGAAAATCAGAAGTCCTGATAAGAATTTTAAAGAATGCTGTAATAGTTGAGTAGAAAGATATCTGGGATCCATTGTTAACTTTGTGCAAACGTTTTTCTCCAAGCATGGACTGTGGACCATTGATCATAAATATTCAAAAAAATGATCAAAAAGCAAATGTTATAGGATCCATCACACAAATTTTGAATCCAATATTCTTAGAGTGGACCCCAGCAATCTGTATTTTTAAAAGTCTTCAAGCATTCTAAATTTTGAAAACTATCATTCCAGAAAGTTGAGACTTGATTAGTAATCAGATTAGTTGACCATCAGATGGAGATAATGGAACAATCTTTAGGAAGTGGGGTGGTTACATGAATAATCAGCTAACCCAAAACTGGACGCCAACACCCCAACACACAGATACAGAGATGCACACACACACACACACAACCCCTTGAATTGGCCTAACCTACAAGAAGCTTTTATTGCCTACATGATGTTCTTGATGTCTTGTATTCTGAAATACAAGATGTTCTCTGACTTCAAACTCCAGTTTTGACTAATTATCTATTTTTTACCTCTATCATAGTACTTATCACTTGATATATCATAACATAAACTAACTGAATTTAGTGTAGTGGTTAAAAATTTAAACATCGTGCCAGATATCCTAGGTTCAAATCCTAGTTCCACCTTAACAATCTCTGTGACCATGACAGCTCAACTAATTTCTTTGTGTCTCAGTTTCCTGATTTGTAAAATGAGGATATAAAGTCTATAAATATTGTAAAGTTTGCGTGAGGAGTTACTGGTGAAGGTATGCAGAGAATTCAAGAGGGATTAATAGAATGTAAGCATCTTATTAATCTAAAATGATGTTATGAATCTAAAATGATTTTATAAATCTGAAAATAAATGCTTATATGCTTAATTCAACTTTATCAAACTACTGGAGCAAAACATTTCTTCCTTCTCTTGATGTTCAAGTTTGTAAAGCACATCCTTTCTCCACACCCTTATTCAGTATATGCTAGAGAGAAGGGGTAAGAGATTTGAAAATTTGGTAAGAATAAACTGAATAAGTCCTCCCCACCAATGCCTGGTAGTACAGCTTTCGAAAAACGTTATGTGTTTCCTCCATGATGTAAGTCTTCCTGTTCTGATGAAGAATATATGCCTAACTCTGAGGTTTAGAGTACTCACTGGCTCTTGAGCCATACTAAGACCTCCACAATAGTCCTTACTAAGAAAGATAATATTGAGAACCCACATCTTCCACTCTTGTGCTTTCTTTCAAACTTTTCAGGAATCACGTGGGAAAGAAAAGGCCAATTTTTTTTGTGTGTGTACTACTGAGACCCTGAAACTAATTAGAAGCTTGCCTTAGGCATCTCTGTTTCCCCAGTGAATTCAGTCAATAATTAAACATTGGCTAAGTGAATGTAAGCTGAGAGTAGTTATGGGAGATGGGATGAGCAGTAGTAGCAATTTTGACATCCGAGTCTGTGAGAAGCTGTGTTCCTGAGAGTCCCATTCAATGAGATTGTCTGTATGTGAAATAATTGTGAGATTAAGGAAACATGACTTTAAAGGGCTAGACAGACTTCATATCCTAACTTCTCTACTCACTAGTCCATAGAAGATGAGTGTGTTGTGTTGTTTATCATCTGGGATTCATGGTAACTCTAAAAATATATTGAGAGTTAAGTGATTATGCATACAAAATACAGAAAAGAGCTTGGAACCGAGTAAATGTTTAATAAATGTTGATTATCTTCATATTTTTAGATTGATGAAAAGTTAAGCACTTGATGAAAATATTTCATCAGTGGAAAAGTAATTTCTCTGTGCCTGAATTTGCACAACGTTAGTTCTATTTCAGCTGTGTAATAAAAATACCTTTAAGAACATTGATGACAGAATACTACTCCCTCTATACTTTTGTCTTCTGTGGAGTTTCATTTGAACAGGCTTACATAGTATGTAGTGTTTTGGGGGTCTGACTTTTATCACTTAGCATTATGCCTATGAGATTCACCCATTGAAACTACAGAACACCAAAGCAAAGTAACACTATTTCATAACAGTCAGAGAGAAAAGATAATTACCTACAAAGTCCTGACAATTTGGGCAGCAATAGACTTCTTCAAAGCAATAATAGATTCCAGAAGACTGTAGGATAATGACTTCAAAAGGCTACGAGAATGTAATAACTGCAAAATGGAATTGTGTAACTAGAAACGTATCATTCAAGGATGAGGGTGAAATAAAGAAAAATTTAGATGAACAGATCACAGAGAAGTTAGCAGCCAGAGACTTTCACTAAACAAAGTGTTGAGTGGGTGCTTGAGAAAGAAGAAAGTTTAGTCAAGAAGGAAAGACTGTGACAAAGAAAAGGAAATTTGTAGATCTAATGATGTTGTAAATGGTCAACCAAAGATTTGTGATTATATATCACGTTGATATTAAATTTCTCTTTTTTCTTTGGTTCCAATGATTCTCCATGGGATTGCTCTGTTTTGTCTGTTTGTTTTTGAGGAAAAAATATTTTGATAAGAGTTCTACTTGCCAATACATCTACCTCAACATAATAATTGTCACAACCTTAAATTCCTTAGCTAAAGAGGCTGTCAGAGTTGAAATGAACAACATTCTAATCATTATAAAGATAGGAAGCAATCTATGAAAATAATCTTTTACTTTTGACAATCTTTGATATATTGGTACTTAGAATACTGAATACATTTTATAAAAGTTTAGATCTCAATAAAATTCTGTGAGAATATAAAATATACAGAGTCATATATTTCAAATGCCCTACTGCTACCGGACATAAGCCCAGACTGAATATTCAACATTAAAGGGGGGAAAAAAAAAAACACACACATGATCTCAATGTTTTTGAAGTTTAAGGCTTTAGAGGGATGCTGGACTTCCAGCAATCCCACTGGTAGGTATTTATCCACAGGAAAGGAAATTAGCACACTGAAGAGATATCTGTACCCCCATGTTTACTGCAATGCCACTCACAATAGCCAAGGTAAGTGATCAACCTAGGTGTCCATTGACAGATGAGTGGATAAAGAAAATGTGGTACATATACACAATGGAATACTACCCAGCGATGAAAAATAACGAAATTCTGTCATTTGTTACAATGTGGATAAGCCTACAAGACTTGTTAAGTGAAATAAGTGAGGCAATGAAAGAAAAATGCTGCATGTTTCCATTCATATATGGGAGCCAAAAAATGTTGAGCTCGTAAGAGTAAAATTGTGGTTAACAGAGGCTGGGAAGGATAGGAGGAGAGGGACATGAGGAGAGGTTAGATAATGGATATAAAATTTCAGCTAGATAGGAAAAAACAAGTTCTAGTCAAATGTAGTGCTATGCATCTATAATTAATAATAATTTATTCTGTTTTCAAACAGCTAGAAGAAAGGAATTCAAATACTCTCATGACAAAGAAATGATAAATTTTTATGGTGATGAATATGCAAATTGTCCTTATTTGATCATTACACACTGTATACATGTCTTGAAATATACAACTCTGTACTCCATAAATAGGTACAACCAATACATACCATTTTAAATAAATTTAAAAAGAAACAATTAAGACATTTTTCTTGACATAGGAAAGATAAAATAGGGCAAATATAATTGGCCTCTACTTTAAATATCAAGAAGAATGAACAAGTAAGATTCCCTCAAGAAAGAGGGAGGGGGCAGTAATATAGGAATAAATAGAAAAAATAATCACAACATCCTAGAAAGAATGAAAATGGCCCAGAGAAGACAGTTAAAAGTGAGATTTTCTCATACCCTCCTGATCTTCTGTAACCTAATTTCCATATATGTTCAGACTCATATTTTCTATATCTATTTGAAGAATATTTTTTAAGTGCGTAGATAATCTACAGTTGTATCTGTTTAAACATGCAATTATATTTGGATACGTTACTTTCCACGTGAAAACCTTAACAATCTGATAATCATGAAAAAAGGAACTTAATGAAGAAACCACACAGTCTAAGATAGAGTATATAATGTTTTATTCAGATATTACCCAGCAACAAAGATAATTCACTTTAGTGGCTTTGAGAAACTGAACAATTTAAGGACTCTGTCCCGTATCCTCTTGGTCCTTATCCCATATATAATGGGGTTCACCATTGGTGGGACAAGAAGGTAGATGTTGGCCACAAATATGTGGACATGCAGAGCCACACGGTGCCCAAACCTGTGGGTGAAAAAAGAGAAAAAGGCTGGAGTATAGGACACTAAGATAACACAGACATGGGAGCCACAGGTGCCCAAGGTCTTGAGTCGGGCATCCTTGGATGGGAGGTGAAAGACGGTGCGGAGTATGAGGACATAAGAGCAAACGATCAATATGAAGTCCACCCCACCAGTGAGAAAGGCAACAGTGAGGCTGTAGGCTCTGCGAATTCTTGTTTCAGCACAGGCAATCTTGATGAGGGCCATGAACTCACAGTAGGTGTGAGAGATGACATTGGTTCTGCAGTAGGGAAGCCAACGTAGCAGAAAGGGGTGAGGACTGAGAAGTGCTGTGCCCCTGAGCACAATAGCTAGGCCTGTGCCCCCAATTACAGTGTGTGTCAGAATGGCTGAGTGTCTTAACGGATTACAAATGGCTACATAACGGTCAAATGCCATGGCCAGGAAGAAGCCAGACTCCATGGTAGAGCAAGAGTGAATCAGGAACACCTGAGTGAGGCAGGCTTCAAAGCGAATCTCCCTGTCGTGGAACCAGAAGAGGCTGAGAAGTTTGGGCACAGCTGTGGTACACACAACAAGGTCAGCCACAGCCAGCATGCAGAGGAAGAGGTACATTGGCTCACGGAGGCTGGGGTCTGTCTTGACAATAAACAGAAGAGAGCAATTTCCCAGTAGAGCCAGAAGGTAGACCACGGAGAAGGGGATGGAGATCCAGATGTGGGCAGCTTCCAACCCAGGAATGCCGATGAGAATGAAGGTCAGTGGATGGGCATCAGTCTTATTATATGCTGACATAACCAGGGTCAGATGTTTTAGCTTTCTCTTCATGGATTTTTAATATAAAATGAACAAAATAATAATTTATAAATTTTGAAACCTCTGATAAGTTAAGAAATAAAAAATGTAGGGAATTGGTGGCCATGGACTAGTGATGACTGTAAATATTTAGCTAGAACTTATTTCATCATTTGGGAGAGAGTCAGGTATTATTACAAAGTTCATCTGTCTCAAGAAGGGCACCACCTAAATATATATGTAGAGGTTATCTCAGTGAGAGCTGCAGGAACTATTTTTTTCTTCTTATTGAGATGCACTGAACTCTGTGAATCTTCTTATCCATGAACAGAGCACCTTTAATAACTTCTACAAATATATTGCCATTTATATTTTTTCACTGTATATTTATTGTAATTTGCAATATAACTGATGTACAGTTGCTAAATGAGGGGAAATATTTAAGTACCAAAATCCAGAGTGAAATATATGAAAATTCTATAGTCTTCCATTGAGAAGAAAGTGGTATCAATTGAAAATTAAAGAATTTGTGCTACGAGTTTGGGGGACTTTGTAAGAAATGGTGTGGTTGTAAGACAAGAAATAGAGGCAGGAGGGATGATAGGAGGTTTTAAATAAAGGATAGGTTTCTGCTGTTTTTTTTATTTTAAACTTTAGTCATAATAGTTTGGGGACATGCCAAGTTACAGGGTTGGCTTTCATATAGGAAAACCGACATTTAGGAGGATATGACAATTGTTGTGGAATGATTTGAAGAAGGTTTATTCACAACCACATGGAACTCATTCAGGATGATGACAGGTGTGGGCCTGATGATAGTGTGTCAGGAAATGAATAAATGATTGCATTATTCATGACTCTCCACTGGCTACAGAATTTATATTTCCTCCTGACCTTAGCAGGAAAGAATTGTAATGATTTGATTACAACCTATAGTCTGAGCTTCCTTCATTTCTTTTCATGTATACAGCTAATCAAACACCTTGGTGTCTTGTTCTTGGTTAAGTTCACTTGATAGGTGTCTTCTTCATCCAAACTTTGGTTCCTGATTTTCCCTTTGCTCTGTGTACCTCTGCTTTGGCTGATCCCCACCAACAAATCAATAATGCAATTTGCTGAGTACAAGTGTCTCATGTTTTAATACTATTAGAACAACATTTTGTAAATCATACTGGTCTCCTAATAGATAGTGTCTTTTTCTTTTTTTTTCTAACCTTTTCTTCTTTTTAGAAACACAATTGGCACTGTTTCTGAGACACTCCTATTACTATTTTAAATATTTGTAATAATGGAGTCTTTGTCATCAGGAAAAGTATCCTTTAAGTCACTGTGCAGTGAAGTCAGGATTGGTATATATACAGCACACTGGATTTCAAAACTACTATGAGATATTACTGCACACCTATGAAGATACATATTATCCAAAAACAGGAAGTAAGTGTTGGCAAGAGTGCTGAGAAAAAGCAATCTTTGAATACTGTTAGTGGGAGTATAGTTTGGTGCAGCATTATGAAAAACAGTATGGAGGTTCATAAAGAAATTAAAAATAGAATTACTATATGACTCAGCTAACCTGTATCTGGGTAGATACCCAAAGGAAATGAAATCATGACCTCCTAAAGATACTGCCCTCCAATATTTATTGCAACTTTCATTTTTCATAACCAAAATACGGGAATAATCTGGGTGTCTGTCGATGGACAAATGGATAAGGAAACTGTGAAATATATACACACACACATAAATATGTATGTATGTATACGCATATACATACATATATGCACACACACACATATATATATACACCCACACAGTGGAATATGATTCAACCCTAGAAAGGAGATTCTACCATCTGCCACGACGTGGATGAACCTGGAGGACATTCTGCTACGTGATAGAAGCCAGACACAGAAAACAAAAATATTGTATGCTGTCACTTACATGTGGAATCTAAAACAACAACAACAACAACAACAACAACAAAAAACCTACAACAATAAAACAAATATTCTTAGATAGACAGTATATAAAGCAGTGGTTACCAGGGTCATGGTGGAGGGCGGGGTGAATGAGGAGATGTAGGTTAAAGGATACAAAGTAGCAGATATGTAGAAGGAGCAAGTCCAAAGATCTAATGTACAACACAAAGACTATAGTTAATAATAGTGTATTGTATTTAAGATTTTTGCTGAATTAGTAGATTATAGCCATTCTTGCCATGGCACGCTTTGGGGGGATGAGTAACTATGTGAGATGATGGGTCACTGTAGTAACAATTTTATTTTGCATCTCATAACACCAAGTTGTACTCCTTAAATATACACAATACAACTTATTTTAAAATGTTGAATTGCAATTATGAAAAACATTTTAACAGATTAATCTATCTTTAAAGTTTCATACCCAAAGTTTCTGCTTACTCTGGCTTCTTGATCTTCAGGGTTCCTAGGGCAGGATATTCTCTTTTGAGCATATAAACAGCTGGATACATGTGTCAAGGAAGTTTTGGACGGCCTAGGGAATGTCATTTCTGAATCATGGCATATATTGGACATAACAGGAATACAGGGAAACCAGATAATTGGAAAGTTACGCAATAATATAATAGCGAATATTTCTAAATGAGTCAGTCACTGAATATAAGTCAGTTGTTTTCCTGAGAACGTTTTACATATTAACTCATATAAATTTTATGCCTATTTTTAGATGAGGAATGTTTTATAAGATTAGACAGCTGGTAAGTAATAGATCCGGTTTCTAGCCCAGACATTGATTCCAGAACCCTCAATCTTAATTATAATGATAAATTGCCCTAATTTTATGAGTCTATATTTACACTTGTGTAAATGGAAAGGATGGGGATTATTCTGCGTACGATATTAGAATATACCGTCACCATTAATTTGATTAGGAATATTTGTCGAAAGAACCCTATTTATAAATTCCATAAAGAAGCTGATTCAAATCTAAGCCCTTCTTTTCCAAGTTTAACCCCTCCCCAATATACTTACTCTCAACAGGTGAGCACTGACATCAGAGGGAAGATTAATATAACCAGACTAAATCTCTATCAGTCTTACTCTGTTCTACAATTATATTTGTACACACTGAACTAATGCATTTTTTACATACTCCCCCCCACTTTTTTTTTTTAATTCTAAAATGAACCTTTGTATCCTTTTATGTCAATTTGTGGTTCTATCAACATTCTCATATTCCTCATGTACTTTAACCTTCGCTCTTTCTATTTGCTTTATCATTTCACCCAATTTAAATATATTTTCCAAACAGAAAATAAACAGATTATGTGGAGAAAAGGTTCACATGAAGTGAACATGAATATTCAGTCAATTAAAATAGGTCTTATCCTTCCTTGCAATCAAGAAATTAAAAATAAAAACGGATATGATCCAAATCATACCTTATATTTTTAACCAATGAATATCAAGAGTGATGATAAGTGTTAGTGAGGTTTTGGCTAAAGAGCAACTCTTAAGAACAGTTTGTTGAATTGTTGAACAATTGAGTGTGAATTGGCATGACTTTTAGACAAAAATTGTGTGGCAAGCATTATTATTAGACATAATATTTTAGCAGAGCAATTTAACTAGTTGCCATCCTAGAGAATAATTTTCATATACACTCATGGAAGCATATACAGTGATGCTCATTGGAAAACTCCCTGTAATAGAATAAAAATTGAATCATTGAAAATATACATCAACAAATAATAGTTAAGTTAAAAAATCTGGGCCACATTTACATTTGGTGTGCTCATCAGCACTTAAAATGAATGAGGTATATTTATATAAACTGATATAAAAGATATTCAAATAAATAATAAAGCAGAAATTTCATTTTCCACTAATATCAACATATACATACAAAAGTTAAACATGTATGTATGTACATAATGTAAGCACATTTATACTGAGAATTTTATAAACACAAAAGACAATCCATAGGGTTACATACCCAATTTAGGAGTCTAAAATGGGTGAAAGGATTATAGACAGAATATAATTTAGCTTTATCAGTATGGCTTGACTTTTTTTAACGGTGACAAGGTATTCGATGTATTCATGTATTACCTGTAAAGTTTAAGGTAAGCAAATAAACAATACAGAGTTACAGTTGTATTAAATAAGAAAAAAGAAAATACTAACCAGGACATTACAACGAGTTGTGGCCTTGCATGTCTTGTCAAATATTAAGAAATTTTTCTAACCACTTGAAGTACCTTTCCTCATTTCTCTCTTCACAGAGAACTGGTCACCCTACTTAATTTATGAAAGCAGTGACCCTGGGTCTTTGTTCTTCATGGTATTTTCCTCACCAATAAAAACCCTCAGTAACTTTTGATTAAAATTGAAGAAGACTCTACTCACATGTCAGTTCCTCTGAGATTATTTTCCTAGCTACTTTGAACCATTATTGACACCCTCCCTGGGTGTCCCTGTGGTATTTGCACTTATCTGTTTTCTTTTTTTTATTGCTTCTTATAATTCTGCAAATCTTTCTCTTTTATTATATTACAAATGTTTATTTGACATGGATGATATCTTTTCATATATTTTCTTTTTGTTTCAACAAGTGAATAAATAAAAAGAGAAGAGGTGAAGGTAAGGGAGTGTTATTTTTCTGGTAAATAATATCAAGATATATTTAAGACAATCAGTCCTAAATCACTATAAATCTATTAGTATAAATTTATTATATTAATACTACATGCTAATCCCCAAACACTATCCTACATTAAGTTTTCAAATTATAATATTAAATTTTGAGACATACCCAGAAGTCAGTGTCCAACAAAATTGAATTGTCAGAATTTTATACTTTGTATAACTACATGATGGAGAAAAACAGGAAATGGAGGTGAAGAAACTCTCATATGCTTTTGGGAAGGAATAAAATAAATGGCCTGTAATGTCTTCTAGCTAAATCTCACATCCCCTATCTATCTCTTTACAAAAATAATATAAACTGACATGAATTAAGCATCTATTAAGTAATATGTTATTTGCCTTGCC